AAAATGATTTTTATCAAAAATCACAGCACAATTGTTATCGGCACACAATTTTTGAATGGACAATAGATTATATTTAATGTGAGGAACATGTAAAACAGACTTTAAGTGGAGAGGCCTAGGCGAGGAAGATAATGTAACCTGACCAGTATGCTTAACGGGGAGAGTGGTTCTGTTTGCTACAACTATAAAATGAGAGTTTGGAGAAAAGGATTTATTTGACAAAATACCTGAATGAGGAGTCATATGTGCTGAGGCACCTGAATCAGGATACCAAACCAAATCAGAAGCGTCAGGAGTCTGAGCAGCAAGAGCGGGAGCAGCCGGCTGAACAAAACGAGAAGGACAGGAGGAGGCTGGATGACCTGGAGCATAGCAAATTTGACAAACAACAGGAGGAGGGACTGAGTTTCCCTCTACTGAGGAAGAGCCTGCATAGCCATGGTTAGTAGAAAAAGTAGATAAGGCATAAGTATAAAATTTTGACTGAACAGACATACCCGCTGAACCTGGAGCCCCAAGAATGCAAGCATGCGGTGCACCACCTGGAAAGTAGCTCAGTGGAGGATAACCATAACCAAAGTGTGGAGCATAACCATGGCCAGACTGATACTGACCATAACCGCGGCCTCGCTAACCAGGTCCACCGCGTCCGCGCTGACCACGGCCACCGCGGCCACCCCACTGACCGCGGCCTCGAGGTGCCTGCCCGCCAAAGGGCTGCTGCTGTCCGGGACCCTGCTGGTGCTGCTGTCTGGCACCCTGCTGCTGCTGACCGCCGCCTGGCTGCGGCTGTGCGGGCTGTTGGAGATGACCCGCAAAGGCTTGTGCGGGATAAGACTCCTCTTGAGAGCGCATGTACTGAATACTCTGCTCCTTCTCTACTAACTTGGTTCGAAGTTTTTCAAACGTAAAACAATTCGGAAACAAGTCCACCGACGTGATAAGAGACTCATAATCCCGACCAAGACAAAGTAAAATATATTGGAACAGTTCCCGGGAAGACACAGGGGCATTTATGGCAGCAAGTTTATCAGCAATATCTTAAATATCAAGCAAGTAGCGATCCATGGACTGTGTAGGACTCTTTTTAGAGTGGGAATGTTGGCGTTTTAATTCCATGGAACGAGCAAGACTAGCAGACATAAAATGTGACTCCAACTGGTTCCAAATAGCAAAGGCATTTTTTAATTCACGCACCTCAATTAACACATCACGAGACAATGTAGCAAACAACCAAGAACGCACAGTTTGATCAAGTTTCAGCCAATTATGATAATCAGGGTTAATTGTCTCATGATGATATGCATCAAAAATATAAGGAGGGGGAGCAGGGATGGAGCCATCTAAAATTCCCAAAAAACCGTTGGAGACCAAAAAAGATTCAAACTGAGTACGCCAAGTGAGATAATCCTCAACCGCAACAAGTTTGGTAGTAACAATATTTGTAATATTGAGTGCTGAGAAACAATTATTTTTAACCAAATCAGATAAGGAATAACCAGGAGAAGACAAGGCACTTGACCGTGGTGCAATCGGTCTGATGGAATTAGAAGCAGGCAGGGGAGCGACGCCCGGAGCACCAGCGAAAGTGGGACCTGCAAAGTTGGAGCCGAAATTCACTGTTGGAGAGGAGCCGACGGCACCGGAGAAGAAAGACATCTGCGAAAGATATTGAGGCCTGGTAGGAGACCAGTTGAAGAATGGCGGCACCCACGGTGCTCCTTCTGCTGTCGCGAACAGATTGGGAGGAGGAGGCAGAGAGAAGACCTGAGAGATAACTGGCGATGCATCTACGGTGGTTGTCACCGGCGTTGTTTGTGAAGAGCTCCCAGCGGTGGTGGACATGCCCGCTGCGACAGAGAGAGAGTCGGCGGAACACATGAGGCCGAAAAAAAAGAATTACGGTAAAAGGGTTCTGGCTCTTGATATCATGTGAAAATAATTACCAGACTTAACCCTAATGGTAGCCCTGACAGATATATTTATAGATAAACAGAGTCAGAATTACAATTGCAGTCCACAATAATAAATAATATTAAAACTACTCTATTAATGAGAAATATTTATTCTTCTAACTCATACGGAGTACGAGTACGTAGTATTTTTGTAAAAATCATTACATTTGTATCACCTTTTTTTTATTTAAAAGAAATCTACATGTTCTAGAATGTGTGTGTGTATGTCAGTATGTGTGTGTGTCTATATATATATATATAAAAATGAATATCATTCCATAAATATACCTCAGAAGCAGTGGATGAGCTAGAGAGGGGTATGGGGAGCAAGCACCTCGCTTCAGGCAAAACAAAAGTACTACTACTTAAGGATAATTTTAGATTAAGTGTTAAAATAAAAGACAAAATCTTTTAGGAAACATACGTGTCCTTAGGAATACAAGTATTGGATGCATCATACCACACTCATTTGAATGAAAATGTGGATTATTTTAGACCTTTAATGACATGCAAGTTGGCTTTTCGTGGTTACGCTTTAGTGAGCAAGAAAGTATTGAGTTTGTTGGATATGTTGTTACATATCTTTCAATAAAAAGATCAAAACATTCTCAAGGCTATGCTGGATTCCCTCCTTGGTGGAGAAATTCATAAGAATTTTAGAATTCTCAAAGATTTTCTGTATGTAAGTAGAGAAGTATTGAATGTTCTAAAATAACAATGTGGAGTTATTAGAGAAGCGTGAAACTCACTAAAATCATGCGGAACTGTGCGGAAGCCTCTAGAACATTTTGAAGAATTATAAAGTTCTTTAAATCCTTTCAGAAGATTAAAAAGTTTGTTACATGTACAAAAGTTATTATGTGTCGAATTTATTACATTTTATACCATTTGAAACAAACTAAATACAAACTACATACAGGGCTGATCATGTCCATTTCTGGGCCCATGAGCGAGATATAATATATTGGGCTTATACACAAGATAAATTGTAAACTATACATATTTAAAATATGAATTATAACAAAAAGATCTAATAAATGTCATAAATAAAGGCTAAAATTATTTTAATGTTATTTAAATTACATATTTGGGCAAACGTAACAACACATGTACTACGTATTACATAACAAGAAAAAATATTACTTAAATCATTTCCCACAGAACAATGTGAAGCAAAATCATCAATTCTCGCTTCAAAGGAATAAAAATCATTAAAAGGTAAAGAGATCTAAATACTGGAGACATGTGTCCACTTAAAATTAATGTATATTCATTTTTTTAACTTAACTTTGTTTAAGACATTTTACTTATGTTCTCTCTCTGATATGGAAATTCAGCGCATTAATCCCATGTGATTTAAAAAATGTATCAACCCCCCTTGTTTTTTAATTAATTATGCGCAAAATCTCTTCTATGAACAAATTCAATTGTCAAATAAAAGAAAAATGATTAACATTTTTGTATGATTTAGAGATTTTGACATATTTACTTGCATATTCGATCAGAATATTAGGAAAAGTGATTTCAAAATCATTAAATTTAGTCATAAAATGGATTATGTGCATGATTAATTAAAACACAAGAAAGTTTGACGCATTTTTCAAATCACATGGAACTAATGCCCCGCTGAAAAATACATAAAAGAATCGTGTTTATATTCATGACCGGTACTGAGAATATACCCATCCCGTGATTGTTAAATGTCATTATTATTATTTCCTTGTTGCTAACATTAGTAATAGATTTGATAAAATGAGAATAAAATAAGAACGATTTAGATTTAGATAAATCATATCAAATTTGATGTGGCAATTCTAATGAAATTGATTGAAAAAAATGAGACAATCTTTAGAATTGATTTAAAAATGAAAAATGAGACCATCTTGCTAAAAAATAATGAGACTATTAAATATAGAAATTGCTCTAAATATGAGTAAAACCTGTTGAAATTCCAAAATAGAACATTCGTCGTGTTTATATTATCTAAATAGGAGTAATTTCTACAAGTTCGGAGAAAAACCTTAATAAAAACTGTTTTGTTTAAAGGTTGAAAATGTCACCTGATACAAATCACTCCTATTTAGAAATTACAAGTATGACAATTGCGTTTTGAAATTTAAAAACTTTTATACCATTATTATTTCAGGAATTTTCTCTTTTGAATAGCTTGTCAGTTTCTGGAAGTGAGGTGACGAACTCATTGGTGGGTCGTGTAACAATATTATCTAGTGGGTGACCCATACTGGCGAGTGGTGCTAATGGGCGATCCATAAATATGATTCATTATCTATATGTGACTGGATAGTTGCTCCATTATACATCATAATTATCCTGTCAGTAACCAATTGATAAGTTTATTTTGAAGTGTCAACATAAGTTTTTTCCCCCTCTATTGCAGGACTGAAAACTCCAATAATGTTTTAAAAGTCAACGCATTGATTATATATTTATGGAAAATGCTCGGAGTATATGAGTTGTACACAAACGGTACACAAAACCCCACTAGTTACTTGTGTACACGTGTAATTCATTTAGAAAAGTGCAGAATTTGATACCCAATTGTCTGTGTACACGGGCAATGTACACATTTTGTGTACATCTTTTGTACACCAAGCATGACCCTATATTTATACGGAGTATATGATTGTATTAAGAATATGAAAGCGTTCTTTATTAAATACTCTTATAAAAATAAAAATTATTAAATTTCTCATAAATATATTAATTAAAATAATGGATCAAAGTTTATAATCTCTATTTTTCGGTAAATGGTATCATTGATTTTCGCAAAGATTAAGAAAAATGTGGTAATGAATTGAAACACATGAAAAAGGGTTAGAAGAATGGGATAGAAAATGTAAAAGGGTCAGAGTTTCCGAAGGAAAATACGTCAAAGGGAATTCTTTTAAAATATGAATAAAATAATCACAATTTTTAAAACAAGAGTATCATATTTATTGTCTTGAGATAGGATTTAATTACTAGCATTCAGGACCATATTGTCATGTTTTGATATTATAAGAGACATTCATGTCACTATTTTTACTACAATTGCCAATACTTTTAATGTATGATAATAATAACTCATATTTAGCCAAAACATAATGTGTTTCAAAATATGACTTGTATCTTTTTCTTCCTAATATGATGCCAAATAGCATGTACCATTCCACCGAGTGTTTCCTTTTTCTTATTTCATTCCACACATATTTTGCCATATATTGGAAAGGATCATCTAGGGTCATATTTTGGGAATTGGCATGAGTTTTACTAATATATATGTATTTGTCTCAAAAACATATAAATATATAATAATACTCGTACTTTGAATTTTCACAATATTTTTACTCATATTTAAAGATAATTTAAAAAACATTCCCGAATAGATATTTTAATCCTATATGAATTGATTTATCTAATTTGATTTGATATATAAAGAACTCACTATCACTACAAACATCGTCTAATTCCATTGGGAAAATGTAAGTAGGTGTCACCGTGTGCCGACAAGACCTTGTCAATTTGATGCGCGTTGACTTTGGCGATGTGCCCCCATAGCTTCAAGGTAGTTAAGTTCTCTTGGTTTGTTGTTGTTTTACCGCTATTGATCCAAAAAGGTGGAATCTCCCACCCCATGAGCCCTCCACCCCGATCCGACAGGATGGTGAGGAGGTTAGTCACGGTGACTCAGTCAGTAGAATAACAGTAGGTCCATAACTCCGTGGAGTGGTGCAAGAGTCCAAATGTCAAAAATGGACTCCGTCGATATGAAAACAGTGTTTTGACTCCTATTCTCTGCATTCCAGCACCGTCAATAAAATACACTCTGCACATTTTTTACATATCAATTAGTAAAACATTAACTAAATTATTATAAGTAATATTTTCCTTTTAATTTTTTCTCTGATTAATTATAAAATAAAAAAGACACATTTCGATGTAAAAATAAATAAATTTCATTATTTTTTTTCGATTTTTCCTGAGCGATTTCAAACACATTGGATCATTGGATTCTCTTCTCAACTTTGTGTTTATCCATAACACATTGGATTCCCTTCTCAACTTGTATCTTTTCAAGTCACATTGGATTCTCTTTTCCATTATTTGTGTCCTTTCATAGCACATTATGTGACATTGGATTTTCTTTTCCACCATGTGTGTTTTTCCATACCACATTGGATGTTATTCTCCACTTGGTGTATCCAAACATATTAATTTGGATGTATCCTCCACTATCGTCTAGGTTCGACCCACTCCTCGGGGTTGCGTTCGCTTTCCGCACACAACCTTCCCATAGAGAACATTGATTATTGATGATCTTAAAACGGAACTCAATTGAATCTCGAGTTCGAGGAACATGACTTTGTGCTGAAAATATCTCATGAATTCGGCCCGAAAAAGTCTCCCCCGGTTGATTTATTCCAATGGCATCATCTTCGGATATGGTGACCCAGGCGTTGCATAGAACAACATCCTCTTTAGCACTCCAATTAACACCCCTTCTTGAGGAAGACATAAAAAAAATATAGTGAAAAAATATGATGAAGAATGAGAGAGATGAGAGATGTGTGATTAAAATGAGAAGGAATGAGGTGTTTATATAGGATTTTCGAGCACAATATTAATTAAAAATAACTGAAAAATAAATTAAATTATTTCAACCGTTGGATTTAAATTTCAGCCGTTGGATTATTTTTTCTCTCGTTCAAACAGTGCCAAGATCATCACAGCCGTTGGATCATTCAATTTTTTTTAAAAAAGCAGCCGTTTCTAGTGCATGATGACATCATGCTGACGTCATCGTGACATCAGCGAGGGCAAATAATTCGGCGCCAGGCCTCTGCTCCCCGCCTGCGCACAGCAGAGTATGCCCCCCACTCCCCTTTTTCTTTTCTTTTCCTTTTTCTTTTTGGCTGTCCAAAACTCCTCCAAATTTAACCCCTTCCCTCCCCAAACTCATTTTTAATACCCTCTACACTCAACCAATGTATGAAATTAGGAGTCCAAAAATGTCATTTTAACATTTTGGACTCCTAATACCTCACCACTCCATTTGGTCTAAAGGGTCAAATAGGCTCTTGTAGTGGTTGTGTAAATTCAATTTAACCTTTGAACTAAATAAATGTTCAATTCGCACTTCAAACCGTCATAAAATGATTCAAACATCATTTTATACAGACAATCAATTAATCATCCGCCACGTCACTGATCTGATTGCCACATGTGCATCTGAATTTGAATCTAAAATAAGTCCCAGTTTGACCCTTTATCCTTAAAGTGCACAAACTTTCAAAAATTGATGGGAGGGGATAGAAAACATTTTAGAATTAAAGTAAAATTTATCATACATTCTTATATTACACAAAATTTGTACACACTTAATACACTCTTCATCTACATGGATAATTGATGTCTTTTTCTAAATGAGTTGTTTATCTACATGGATAATTAGAGATGTACACATTTTGTGTGTACTTTACACTCACATGTGTGCACAGACAATCGTAGACGTCTATGTTCACTGGAACGTGTGACATGTGTGTACAAATTATGGGTATAAATAGAATTTTTGAAAATCTGTACTCCCTCCGCTCCCAAGTTTGTCGCGTTTTACTTTTTCGTTCTTCAAATTAATTTTATTTCATACCATATTCAGTAATATTTGAGTGGTTATATACCATTTTTATTTTATTTAGTAACAACTTACTATTAATCACATAATTTCAAAAAATTTCATTTTTGAGTGGTTAAAAACTGCATCATACTCGCTTGTCTGAATCCTAAAGGGACGTAAGTAGTAACTAGTAACGGAATAACAGATCGCTCCTATAGTGAAGTAATAATTTTCTAGAGAGAAAGCATAGGATGATCATTATTATTAAAATAAAAGCCACATATTTACAATTAAAATAAATGTTGTTTATAAAATTGTAACATCTGAAGTATAAGGATTATAATACTACGTACTCTGTAATAAACATAATTATAGTATCTTGTACTCTACATTTTAATGATCATAACATTATGCCATAGTTACAGCGAGTCATATTCTTGTATAACGACGGTCATGTATTAGGGATGGACTCGGGTCCGGGCGGGCCGGCGGTTCAGAAGTGGTGGACCCGGGACCGGCCCGGGTAACCACCGGGTCCGGTCCGGGTCTGGGCCGAGCCGGGCCCATTATCAATTTTTTTCCCTCTTCCTAATTAACCCCCCTCCCACCCCAACCCCCCAAATCACCCCAAATGGCCCAAAATACCCATCTCAACCCGAAAATTTAAAAAAATTGAGAAAAAAAATAGTTTTGGCCCGAACCGGGCCCGGCCAGGTCGGGCCTTGTTTTGGGTGACCCGAGAGCGGACCGGAAAATCCACGGGTCGGGCCTACCCGGACCAGTCACTGACCGGGCCACCGGGTCGGGCCGGGCCGGAACAGTACCGGTCCCGGGCCGATTCCGGGTCGGGCCACCCGGCCCGAGTCCATCCATATCATGTATGTTCGAAGGCGCAAGGACGGAAAATTAAAATGGGCCTAATGTTACAAAAAATTGTAGAACCTTTTTCTATCTAAATTATCATACATAAAAATAATGATAACAATAATATTTCAGACATTTATAAAAATTGTAAGACTCTGTTTTGTCTAACCTAGTGATAGACCCGGGCTGGTCCGGTTCCGGGCCGAGCCCGGGCGTGCTTTTTTTGCAAATCCTTGGGCCCGGAACCGGCCCGGGTTGATACCGGGTCCGGGCCTAACCGGGCCAGGCTGGGCCCGGTTCAATGTCTATTTTTTTTTGCTTTCTTGTTATCCCCCGACCCCCCACCCCTCACCCTCACCCCCAAACCTCCCCAAAACACCCAACCCTACCCTAGGAAAAGAAAAAAAATTGAAAAAAAAATTGACCCGGGCCCGGCCCGAACCTCCTGGGCCGGTTCACCCAAACATGGGCCCGAACCCGGCCCGCCCAACCCGCCCAAACGGGCTAAAAGCCCGGAACCAGCCAACCGGTCCCGGTCCGATCCGGGCCCGCACAGTAGCGGGCCAGGCCGGTTCCGGGCCAGACCCAGTTTAGTCCATCCTAGTCTAAGCCAATCATATTATAGTATTGGTGATCCTTCTTTAGGAAGAAAATAATGGTGAATTAAAGGAATTAAGTCTATTATTATCACCCCTAAATTTCCCCCTCCAATGATGTAATCATTCTGAATCGTAGTATCATTTTTAGTAGCTAAATTATTGTTCTTCTATGAGTTCTCATCTTGAAGGATATTCATAATTTGATTTCTTTACCCAAATCAACTTTTTCATTGAACTTTTTTTTACTCATTTGATTTCCCACGCCAGTTCTCGTTTTAGAAAATAGCCTAAAAGCAAAAGAAAAAAATTAAACCTGATTTCTCGAGCCAATATCGTTTTAAACAATAAGCCACAAAAGGTGAGATGTGCATTTATAAATGTATTGGATATTACATCGACGCAAGATTTAATAATATAGCTTTTTATGCATCATAGAGCTGGAGCACCATTTTGAAAAATGCCACAAACTTATAGGTTATGTCAGAACACCTCCCATAAAAATCAATTCTTGCAAAAAGCAGATATGCATCGAGTGAGTGAAGAACTCACAAGTTCATCAAGGTGATGAGATCGTCTACGCTGATATCCCTTTGATCTCGGGAGTTTTGCTTCTTCCTGAAAACTTCCCTAGCCAAAAATTTCTTCTTCTCTTGTAGTTGAAGTATCCTCTCCTCAATAGTGTCCTGTGCAATCATTCTCACGATCTTCACCTCCTCCCTTTGGCCGATCCTATGCACACGGTCCATGGCCTGCTCCTCCACGGCCGGGTTCCACCAAGGATCAAACAAGTAAACCCTTGACGCCATCGTGAGGTTTACTCCGACTCCCGAAGCCTTGAGGCTTGCGAGTAGGACCGTGGCCCCCTCAGGGGCTGGGACACCAAACTCCTTAATAACTTGGGCCCGTTTGTTTGCGTTCATCGACCCATCCAACCGTTGTATCTTGAAACCCGCAACTTTCAGTGGCTCCTCAAGTAAATGCAGCATACTGCGGAACTGCGAGAACACAACTGACTTTACTGTTGGGTCCCGCTCACGTTCAGCGAGGAGAAGGTCGATAAGGGCAACTACTTTTGAGGAAGGGCCATTTCCTTCACAGTCTGATTTGGAAGTGTCAGAAGGTGCAAAGAAGAGGTTGGACTCCGTAAGTGGATGGCGACACATCGGGCAGCTCGGCTTGCTTTGCTGGAGTGTCTTGAGGATGCATTTCTTGCAAAAAATGTGAGCACAGCATGTGATTACAGTGTCTTTGGGGGGTGATAAGCAAATTGGGCAGCTAAGGCCATCATCATCCTGTAGTGCCATAAGCATCTTGGACAGCAGTTCCGGGTTGTTTTGTACATCTGTTTCAGCCACAATAATCATCACATTAATCAAACAACAACAACATCCAAGCCTTAATCCCAACAGAGTTTGGGTTGGCTAACATCATCTCATTGAATATTTACAAAAAATGGAAGGCTCAGATACGTTTTTCGTTTATGTAATATGGTGGTTTTCTGTTGAAGATCCTTGTAATATGATTTAATTTTTATTCATCCTTCAATGATTTTAATTGCGGTCTTTAAAAAAGGCGTGGCTCATTGCTATCCACTTATTTAAAAGGCTTAATGGATGTTGATGGAGAGAGACAAAAATGAAATTGCGGTAAATTGCAGAGATGAATAACATTTTAGGGACTAATTAAAATGGTGAAACACATTTACAGGATTCCCACTGTTGAAGTAAAGTCACACTATCAAACCACCCTGAAAGTTCCTCAAGATTGAAAATTAAACCCTTTGAGCAGTCTATTTATCAAGAAAAACCCTTTGGCAAAAAATATGATACGAAACAATAATAGCAACTGGAATTAAGTATTTTGGACGTAAGAGTTCTACTTTTTTGTACATCTTATAGATAAACATATTTCTTGCTTTTTAGGAAAAAAATATTTGGATGTGTTAAGATTAATTTAGTCCTGAAACACTCAAACTCCTACTCATAGCATACAGAGTAACTTTATATCATCTATGGAAATCTAACGGGACAAATGGTATATTTAGTAATTAGATCAACCCTCAGCAGAGGTAGAACTAGCTAAACGAAAAAACGCTATAACTAGCCAGGGAAAAAAACAAGAGTAAAAGTAAAATGATGCAGTGCAGTGAGGAAACAACATGGGAAAACCAAAGTCAGCTTACCTCCAATTTGACTTGTTGGAAGTAAATCTCGAAGTTCCACGGGAACCAGTGCAACATCTGCACAAATTTGTCGAAGGCGCACAAGTGCGCTCACTACCGTCCAATAACTTTTCATTGAACTTTCTTCAGAGATATAGTTCTTAATGATTTTCTGTGCTTTCAATTCCATCTTATCATAAATTTCCCTTTCTTCTTCAGAGAGTTGCACAAAATAAGTCTCTATAGTTTTTGCTGGCAATCCAATCAGCGTTTTGTCTTTTGTTCTTCTCAATGACAGTGTTTCCATCAAAGCCTGATATGGCAAAAAAAGTAAAAAACCAGAGTCACTAACAATTAGAAATCTACCTGAAGCACAAACTTTCTTCTTGGCAGGCAGTATGCAGGGATTAATTTATTAGAATAGTAGCAGCAGTGGAAGACAAAACATAACTGTGTTTCAAAAGAAGGAAAAAATTGCACAAAAAGAATGAACTATCCTTCTTGTTCTGTGTTATAGGTATAACTTTGATATAAGAAAAGCGAGTTACTGGACATAAACTCTATGGTTTTGCCAACACAGCGAGTCCGATCACAGTACAAGTAACTTGGTCCTAGTTAAATGTGAAAGATTGAATATAAAAAATTTGTAAACTTTGAGATTAAACAAAAACACTTAGGAACTTCAATTGTTGTTTCAAGGTTTTAAAATATTGATCCAAATGATGATTAATTTATGTTATAATTGATAAGATGGTGGATAAACTACTACTACATATAATTAGAAATTTTTAGTCCACAGGTTTTAATTAATACTAATACAGTACCTAGTAACTGCCGATTAGGCGATTATATCCGATAATAGTCCCAATCATCACTCACCTTTGATCAAGTAGCTTTTGGGTAACGATTTAAGAGCTTAGTTCCTATTAATTCTCGGCCAGATGAAAAAAGCAATGGAAAATGATATCTAGTTGCAGACAGAATGCCATTTTTTTAATCAAACTCGTCTAGCTGAATTACTTTCTCTAAAAACTTATTATCTCACTTTGATATAACATAAAAATTAAAGCTTCGCATACAAAAGATGACGCTAGAGAGACAAACCTCCAAAAAAGTAATTTTACCTGAAGCCGCAAAATCCCCTTCTGATCTCCATGAGAAAGAGGCCGCTGTATCAAACTATTCCAATAGTTCTTCACAGACAAAGGCTCGACCCTAAGAAACGCCATAAATGAATACAAATCAAACGAGCTATTCTGAATTGGAGTCCCAGTCACCACCCATCTACGTTTGGCTTTCAAGTTGTTAACAGCACGACTCTGTTGAGCATTCACATTCTTAATCATGTGTGCCTCGTCAAGAACAACTCTCCACCACTCTATCATTTTTAATGGTGAGTCCCTCAACGCATCTTCACTAGCCAAAGTGTTATAAGTGGTCAAAACTATATCATACTTTTGAAACATGTTGACATCTCCAGTCCTCTTGGTGCCATAATACAAGTAAACCTTCAATGAACCTACTTTAGTGTGCTCTTCTAGCTGTGTTATCCACACTGAGAAAACAGCCGGCGGACATACCACTAGAGTTGTTCTCATATTTGAAGAAGAGACCATGTTAAAACTCGTTAATTTGCTTTGGGTATCTTCAGATTTTAACTTCTTCCTAGGCCTAGAGCCCTCACTAATAGAAGCAACAGGTATATTTTCCTTTTCCTCCAATTTTTCATATTTATCAAAAGCAATCAATGAAATTAGAGTGAGAGTTTTACCCAAACCCATGTCATCTGCAAAAATCCCACCACGGATAGGATCAGGACAGTTATCCATACAGTAATTTGTCAATACATTGACATAAAGACCATTTCTTTCCTCCCAGAAAGGAGGCAAATCATGAGCTATCTCCTGCTGGACTAACCACCATAATCCTTCCTTCTGATGTGAAAGAAGTTCGGATTTTATAATAGCATTTGGAGGGTCCAATGTCCCCAAAACTGCCTTCTTGCCCACCTTCTCATCCAATAGTTTAAAAATCTCATCAATGCTTTTCCTCTCACCTGCATTCACTTGTTCTTTCACAATGGCTGCCTCTGATAATGCCAAGGAAGGGTCATTTTTAGAAATGAAGTCCAATCCAGCACTTAAAAATATGCATTTTAGGGTATCAAATTCAGATATCCTGGCAAAAATGTGAATTTGGCATGCGATCTTATACCGGTTTCTTCCCCAGGGCATCTTTGGCACAATACCTATTCCATCACTTACAAAGTCAATGCACAGAGCTTAACTAAAACAACAAACAACCTTTGCTCTTTAACAACATCAAAGAAAGGAAACTTGAGCAATGGTTTGAATTTATATTTTATAGATTCCAAAATTGACACCACTCAACATAGATATACCTTCAATTGTGATTATCCCGGAGTCAATGAGAGGGGATATGACCTCGGCAGCGGAGGCCTCGATGTGGCCGACTTGTTGGGAGCGAACGTTGAGCACTTGGATAGCATTGGAGTCATAGACGTTGAGGGGCTGACGGACAAGGTTCACCACTTCGCCGCCGTTGACCTTCCCGGTGTAGTACCTGAGGCCCACAACGTTGGCGGTCACGAAGCCCACCAGGTACAACTCGCCACCGTCGTTCTCTTCGGTGAAAGGCTCCGACGGCCAATCGTCCAACAACATGAAGGCCTGTACTGGGTCTTCTCCGTCCGACATTTTCTTGATTTTTTCTTGATTTCTTTATATCCGGAAAATGGCAAAAATAAAAACGGAGTTTTTTCGGTTCTCGTAACTACGAATCTACGAAGACCTTGGCGGTGGAGGGTTCTACGGGTGGAGAGAGGTTTAAAAGACGAAAGGCGGGCTTAAAGGGAGAGGGGGATTTGATAAGAACCATTTCATGTAGCCGTTTCTGGTAACGCCGAATGACGTCAATTTCAATGCCAACTCTTTTGGGAAATCAATAAGTGTGTGTTAAGGAATAATAATAGCACAAATGATATCTAATTAATGAATGATGATGCATTTTAATTAGAAATAATTACGAAAAAAAATATTGTTTACATAAATGTAAACTCTTAAATAGATGTAGTGACAATAATAGTAATTTAGTTATATTAACGCTCTGTAACAACAAATAGACAAGATGGAAACCGGTCAACTGTAGGGGGCCTACCCCTCTCAACCAGACTCAGGTACGCATCACTTCTTTTGAAAGTTGATGAATTGCAAAGGCAAATCAGCGAGGGTGGTGAAGACCACATGCTTAAGCTCTGATGGATAACTAATATGTGGATACCATTAGTGATATGTAGAGAGAAAGCAGAATTACTAAGTAAGAGGGAGAGAGAGAGCAATCGTATTAATGGTATTCGAACCGTTACAACTTCCCAATGGGCTGCTATTTAACTAGTATAAATGCTAAGTGCCTTGAGTGCATATAGATGTGTATGCTTAACTATGGCGAAGAGCGCCAATGTGGTGCAAATGTGGGCACGTAGTTGAGCGCTGAGAAGCGCGAGACCGAAAACTCTCTGTGTCGAGGTCGAGGGCTTCGCCCCCAGGACCAGAAGGTTGTTTTCTGGAAGCTCCTCCCGAGACATGAATGGCCTAGCTCGTATACATGAGGTGACCTTTATGCCAGATGCTGTTGTTCAACGCCCTCGAACTCGAGCCGGGGGGGAGGGGGTGCCCAATTGCTACAGTGGGCTGATCGTGGTTGTTGGATTTGTTGACGTGTCAGGAGTATGTGAATCGGGAGTCCTGGACCATATACTCCATCACGTATGGTGTATATAGATTGTAGTGGATTGTTTCAATCCATCAACTTTTAAATTCAAATACACTTACAAATGAATTCTATTAATTTATATAAGGGAATTTACCCTAAATAGGAGTAAATGAGGTTTGGAATTCCAATATATGGTTACTATGTTTTTCTTCACGAAATATGAGTTTTTACTGTCATGTATGAAAAATACTGGCATAATTAAAAAATAATGCCATTAATTATAATAAATATTGTCATGTTAAATGTACTGTACTGCAACTATTTGATAGTCACGCCTAAAAGATGACAACAAATACTGTCATGTTAGTCCTGTTTCGGGAATAAAAATATATTAGTCCTATTTTGGAATTTCAAAGTCCATTTACTCCTATTTTAGGAAATCTCCCCTTATATAATTCTATGTATTTCATATGAATAGTATGGGGTGTTGGAATTGATTTTGCTTCTGCTTCTGCTCTCTAAAGAAGCATAAGTAGTTTTAAGAACCAGATCCAAATACCCTCATAGAACAACACAAATTTAAATAAGATGTTTGTTAATTAACATTCATAAGTCTAAATATTGCAAGAGGTCAACTGCACAATTACACAAAATTATAGAAAATAATTAAAAAATTAAATGAAACAAATGTAATTCATCGAATTCTAAGATCACCCCGTCGTATGTCATTCATTTTCGTTAAACTAAGCATCAGCGATGCGGCCATGTGTCACTCATTTCGTTTTAACTAAGCATTCAGGTTATTTATCAGAGAACTCGAATTTGTGAGGATTAACCTGCAAATTCAGTGTCGTTATGATACGGTTATTTCATACGGAGTATATTGGTCAATACGTAAAAATGATAACCGTGACACCCATTGTGCATGTGATACGATATACTATCTTCGTTTTTAGTTGTAACATTGGTGAATGTTGCACTATTCACATACTCCATTTTGACTACATTTTATTTATTAATGTATTATAAATTAATTTTTTGAAAAATATTGTTAAATTCCCTCATTTTAAAATTTCATTTTTTTTTAAATTTTTTACGAATAGGGAATGAAAGATATTAATGATCAAATTTGTGCGTTGACAAACGTGAAAAGTGAACCGTTGCAATTAAAAAAGGAAGGAAGTATGTGTAATAGAGAATTTCTTCTTAATAATTACTACGTATTTCTTAATAGTTTTTTGTTTGTTAAAAGTTTTCTTCATAGTTTTTTTTTGTTTCTTAATAATTATTTCTCAATTCATGATTAAACATGTATTAGCTGGAAAATATAATTTTATGTGTTAGTGGTTTGACGATGACACCAAACAATGTTTAAACATATTTTTATTTGTTAAAGATAAAAATGATAAAATACAAGAATTGCACTGATATGATTTAAACAATTCTTATATCAAATTTTCAAAAAATCTAGAATCGACCAGACATTGAACTAACAATTCTTCAAATAACTGCTACATTTTTTATTAATTTTGGCTCCTAGTTTGTTGCGGTTTCTATGATAAGCACAATATATTATTTGAATTTTACTTTTTCCCTATTTATTGCCCCGCTTTTGTATAGGACCCCAACAAGTAAAGTTTCTTTTTATAGTTTTTAATAGGGTGGGCAAATGGTTTGGCCCAACTGAGCCAAGCCAAACCAAAAATTTGTAGGTTGGTTTGGTTTGGGTCCACTGAAGTAAATCGTTTGGTAAGAATTTTTTCAAATCTAATGATTTAATTTGTTCGATTTTAAATCGAAAAACCGCAAATCGAACAATATTTAATTGTTATTAAAATACTTTGTACTTGTATTCCCTCTTCATTTTTAGGATATAAATAAATAACTTAGATATGAAAAATATAGAAAATGATCCCTCCGAGCTACTGGGTCGTCATGCGAAGTTAGCTTGGTTTTACAATATAGACTTGAATTTTTTATCTTTATTGCCAAATTTCCATAAATTTGTACTACCTCCGTTCCTATTAAAACTTCCAAATAGGTTTGGCACAAAGTTTAAGATAGTGGGTATTGTGTGGTGGAGAGTTGTGCAGAGGAGAGAGAAATGTGTAAGAAATGTTGTGAACCACAAATTCTTTACCAAAAAGGGAAAGTGGAAGTTTTAATTGGAACGGATGAAAAAGGAAATTCGGAAGTTTATTTAGGAACGGAGGGAGTATGATTTTATCTCAACAGAACATACTCATTCACTTGTTTGTGAAATTGAATTCTAAATCTTCTTTTCTTCTAAACTGCACATTCCAGTAAAAACAACTCAGAATGTTTGGATCTGCTTCTTAACTTCGAAAATTCTAAACTTCGAGAAATCTGAACTTCGAGAAATTTTTAAATTTCGAAAACTTCCAGACTTCGAGAAATACGTCTTCTTCATAGAACCTGCAAACAACGATGTAAACTTCTTCAGAAACGCGATTTTAGACGGTTTTATATTAGATTTTGATCTAAATCTTCCAGAAGTAGCAGAATATCATCGGTAGCAGGTCGATAAAACCACGAATCATAGCAAATGAGATTTTTGAGTAGCTTGGCTTCTTTGTCAATGACACATCCAAAAAAACGCAGAAAATTCTGAGTTTGGGACCGGTTCGGTTCTTATATGAAATTAGTAGAACCGTTACAAAAAACTTAACTAATCAAATCGGTTCGATTCCTATCTAAAATTTCATGAACCGTTATGGAACCGAACAAATAGTAAACGGTTCGATTCTTACTTTTATCGGTTCCTAAGATTTTTTTTTATAAAAAAATTAACACAATTTACTTTCTACAATGCAAAAATGTCGAAAATTCAAAACACAAGCAATAACTACTTTTTGAAGCTCTTATAACTTGAAACATATAGTCCAAACTTAATTTATTCAACACTTAATAGAATGAAACAAATTTTGAATTATGTTTGTAAATAAAATATGAAAATCGTTGTTGTTTCATATCAATAAAAGTTGGATCATCATAGTAGAATAAAGTGTCTAGTTCAAGTTCCTCAAAACATAAGAAAACATGTTGAATACATAAGTACAAATATAAACTTCATTACATTTCAAATCCTAGGAGCATTGTTTATACTAATCTCACAATTACAATCATCTTGAATATTATAAAGAAAAAATATATTGAACCAACACGAATTACTTTGGTTTACTTTTACAATCATGAAACTTCTGTGATGGGGAACAAAGTATGATTTGTAAAAAATGAGGTTAATGTATTCATCCTCATACACTTCCATCAATTAAATTTAAATTGTTGTGTGATTAAATGTCACCGATTATATTGTTATTACTACTGATGTCACTATACATATTGTTATTGTTGATATTATTATTTTTATTATTATCATTATTATTACTAGTTATAATTTCAATTTTTTTATTTTTTAATAACAGTTCCCTAATGGTTCTGTAGACATATTTTTTGTAGGAACCAGAAATCGAACCGTTAACAAAGAATAAGAACCGAACCGTTACCAATTTATAACTCATATGTAGGAACCGAACTGGTTTTTAACGGTTCGGTTCCAACTGTTTTCTGGTTCTTGGTTCCAAAATCTTACCCCTAGAAAATTCAACCTCTTTGTGGTGAACCTTCTTGTAAATCTGAACATGAGAATATAAGAGCATATAACAGAATATAGAGAGGAAAAGAAGTTGCAGAGGAGTAAGGAGTGAGAAAAGAGCGAGAGAAGATTTAGTTAATTCTTTTCTGCCTTGTCCGTTCCTTACACTTTGTTTAAATACTTTGGGTATTTACCCACATGGTAAAGGAGTAAAATAAAAGTAACTGGTCCAATTACTGAATAACCCAAAAATAACAAGCTCAATTATGACCAATAGGCCCAACTTAATCAAATATATTGTTGACAACGGTTCTGCCTCGCCTCGCAGACAAGTTGTCTGTTCACAAACAATTCTACAAAGTTGTCTCAGATAACTTGTCTGCGGGAAAGACAGGTGTACAAAAAAGGTGTACATATTTTGGGTAGACCACTCATTTTTCTTCATGACAATACTCCCCCGTTTTTTATCCTTGTCCCCGAGGATATCCCAGTGGAAACATCTTCTTGAAAGCTTTCTTTGACATTCACCCAGTGCATTTCTCCCTGCTGTCTCCTCGAGTGAAGAGTAGCAACACCTG